TAGGCAATCACAACCAGTCATCTTCAGAAAGATGGGGCTCCTCCATCTATTAAAAAAAAAAAAAAAAAAAAAAAAAAAAAAAAAAATAATATAATATATATATCTGTGTATGTGTTTAAAAACACTATTTCCACAGTTAAGTAAATAATAACATCAAAAAGAAGGACTGCATTAAAAACAGCAAGACCAAACCTGTGATGAAAAAATATTTTAATTACCAAAACAAGCATCAACAACTAGTACAAAAATGCTGCACGTGTTAAAAAGATTGCCAGGTCACATCTTATATCTCTCATTATAGCCTGTGCCCTAGTGATCTTTTTAATATATGTAGCATTTTTGTTGGAGTTGTTAAGGCTCCTTTTGATGATTAAAACACATACATACATTCGATGACGAGGAACCCACTTTGAGACTAATAATGGTTGGAGACGGCTTGAATGGGTAATGAAGAAAAACTTTAATATAAGTTTAACATAACAGCAAATGTACAACGTTTCGACAAGGTTTTGTCATCATCATTTTGTCATTTAGGATTATATTACATGTTTAAAAGATGATTTTTAAACTATTCTAAAATTGGTTTGAAAACATATTCAACATAGAAATTAACTCTTTTTGTGGACACATAAGTTTGTCTTTTATACAAGTAATGTTATAAAGAATCCATATTTTATTGCTTTAATCCTAAGATGTCTCCATAGTAGCTACACAAAAAGAAACCCCACAACTGTATTGTTCCATTGAAAAGCATGATTATTATGTTAGACATTCTAGTTTGTTAAAGAAATCCTGTAATACCTAATCCTCCTAGGGCATGTTCTGTCATGCTCAAACACAGTGACTCCAGTCTGGTATTGATTTCTGGGTCATTGGAAGATGTGTCTCCAACTGTACAAAAATAAATCTTTTAACTCAAACATTACAACAACAAACTTGGGTTATATTAAAACTCAGGTTAGCATTTTGAGCCTTTAAAATCATAGTGAAATAAGAGAAGATGACATAAAAGCATTCAAGCATACAAATGGTTTGACTCAGCTCTTAAGTTTCCAACAATGAATCTATAAATTGTATTTTACTTTATAGACAAGAATTTCCTATAAATAATGGTCTCACCAAATCTTCCTGAGAAAAGCACATATTTTGGAATAATAAAATTTATATAATTACTTCAATCCTAACATTTTTTTTAGTGTTAAAAAAGCTTTAATTTAATGCAGTGAACAAATTCAATAGTTCATTACTTGTAACAAATACAATCATAATCCTTACTGCAGTGGTTTTAAGTGTTCCATAAAATACAAAGCTTAGATCAAAAAGAACTGATTTGAGATTTAAAAAAAGTCTAGAAAAATTACAGGAACCTCTGCAGAACTGGGTGATTAAGTAGTATTTACTAATCAATTAATTAGTCGACTAATTAATTGATTAGTATGTGTACACTTTTCTAGACATGTTACTTAGATAATTAAGTATTGTTTTATATGCTCACTAAGCATGTTTACAACAATGTTGAAGCCTTATAGTTACATAGTTACTCAGATGCTTTGTAACCAACCAAAGAAAATGTATAATAATGACATATTTCTTTCATTAGGCAGTAATGTTTCATTTTTACAATAATTATATGATACCAGTTAAATCTTTAAAAGTTACCTGCGTAACACTGTAACCAAATTTTCAGCATTTTTTTTACATTGAAGAAAAGACTTCCACTATTATAATATAGTATTTAGATTAATCAATGCTAACCATATAGTCTTAAAGCAACATAAATAAATCAAAGTTAAATAATGTAAATATATACTGTAGATGATTAGCTCAGTCAGGTTATAATAATCCAGTGATTTCAAAGCTTTTATCTTTATTTCTAGTAATGTGATGGATATGAAAATAAAAATATTTTAAAACAAACATTTCATATTTTTAAATTAAAAATAAATAGTTATAATTATTTATTAAAATATTTAAAAACAAATTACAGCATTTGTATACAGGATGCTTGTCTTAAAAAGTATTTTAAAGCTATTACTTATACCATTACATCACTTGCATTTTCACTTATTTTCAACACCAACAATAAGAAAAACATTTTTCTTAAGAGACTTCTAGCTTATAAACATTGAAAATCGATTCTGTAAAAAGTTTATGTTATTAGAGCTGCAGGTAGTCCAAACAACACTCAATTTGATAAATACAAATCTCCAAAGTGTAGTATATCTCGAAAAAGATAAGGTACAAATATATATAATGGCAACATTTGGCTGATGTCTATGCTGTTGTATTAGTTTAGAAATAATTATCGACTGAGGTCTAAACTGGACTGCTGAAAACTCCAGCATTGTTGATTTCAGAAAAACTCAAAAAGTGTTTATGTTAAGTAATAAACCAATCAAATAAAACAACTAACATTAATATTTCATCTGATACTATTTAATGTCTGACTATTCTATTTATTAATTTATAAAAAAAACATAGAAAGGATGGGGGGCAGACTCCTCTTCCTTCTAGATATGCACCTACTTATATAACATTAAATAATATAATTAATTAATGAAAAACATAGGTAGGGACCTGCCCCACTCCCCTAGATTCACATTTGCTTATAAACCAATAAAGAATAATTATTTTTCTTTAAAAAAAATGGAAGGGGTCCATACTCCCTAGAACCCCCTCACCTGTACCTGTTTATATAAAATGAAAGAATACAGTTACATAATTATAAATTAAAAAAATAAGGAAAACCGGTATATTTAATATTTATGAGTTGGCAGAGGGTGCTGCCAGCCAGGTGCCTTCCCTCTAGTCAGCAGTTAGTTCAAAGTGACACTGGCAGACAGCCTGAGTAGTTTTGCTATTATAAATACAGGTTTAGTAGTAATGGGAATCAAACCCAATACCCTCAAATCATGAGGCACCTCTACCCCATTATGTAGCTTTATGATTAAAAAGAAACAATATTTCAATTACTTTGATGTTTGGAATAATCAAAAACAGAAATAATCAGAAACCCTAATTTTGATTAGTTGATTATTTTAACCACAATCAATTCAATCATTCCTTCAATTAATTGATTATTGGAATAACAGAAAACAGTAATAATTGGAAACACTAATTCTGATTAGTTAATTACTTTTGGGACAGTCAACATAAATCGGCATTTCGATTAATCAGTTGTTGGAATCATCAAAAACCCTAATTTCATAATCTAATTAATTGCCATTTTGATTAATCAATTTGTTTACAAGATGCTAATCAATGCAACCATTACTTAAACGTAATCAATTATGTCAATTACATTGCCCAGCTCTAATTCTCTGTAATCATTTCTTTCAAGTTTGAAGATGATAGTGAAAATGGAAAAATCAAAATTACTGAAACTTGTGAAAGTCAAACTTCCCTGATATCTGTATCATTTTTTTAAGGCTGAATGGCACAAATCCTGAGAAAAAATACTGAAACATTTCATAACTGCTATAAAATAATTAACTAGAAAAAATCTTTATTAGACCAAAATAAAATAAAGAGAGAATAAACACTCAAAATGCTTTTTTTGTCTGTTAAGATTTATGAAAAACATTCTGTGTAATATGATTATTTTTACTTATGCTACTGCTGACGAAGTAACAAAATGACTATGACAATAAGATAATTAAAATTACTATTTTATTCAATCACAAAATCAATATTACTAACTACTGGTAAATCATTCTAAAGAGGATAATATGCTGTTACACAAAAAAATCCAAAGAATAAAAGATCTTGAAGTTGACAGTCCTTCCACATGCACGACATAGAAAAAGAACACCTTTACATCAAAACATAAATACTTTATATTTGGTAATTACATTTCTTGATGTAAAGTAAAACTTGAACTAACCCTCTCCTTGCTCTCCAAAAACAGAAGTCGACAGTGGACTTGGCCGGACTGGAGCAGAGTTAGTACGCTGCACAGTGACATGAGGTTTTAAATGCTGTTAACAAAATTAAATCAGAGTCATTATTTCACAATTTTAAGCAAACTGGCTTTCTGGAATACAAAATTTCTAAATCAAAGGAAAATTAATGCAAGAAACACGAATATGTAGCTATAAAATGTAATGTATTCCAAAATTATAAAGCACATTTGCAGAGTTGGCCATAACAGATAACAGAACCTTGTAAATGTACATCTTGATCACATGATCCCCAAGGATAATGGTACATTTAGAGTTTTATGATAAGTAATAAAATTTTTAAACTTACATCTTGCAAACTTGGTCGTTTGATCACTATGGATAAAGGGTTTCTTTGTGGAGATTGTGTCAAGTTTGGTGTGGCCACAAACCCTTGTTGACGAGGCATGTGTGGTCGCTGAGAAGACTGCTGGAACTGTGGTGAGACACGACGTCTGGTGGCAACAGATCCAGCTGCTGCAGCTGCTCCAAGGTCATTTCCTTGAGCAGTCTGGCAATTCCATTTTCTAAACAAATAAACAAATACTCAATATCTCATAAAATAAACGTTTATTCTGTATTTCATTAAGTGTATATTTTTTAAAACCTATTACAGCAAATTCATATTCCTTTATTTCCCCCTAGAACTTATGTGCATACAGAAAAGATAATGCTTGAACTCACCCTCTATTCAGCCTCGTGTCCAATGAGCGGCGTGGAGGCAAGGGATGCCACACTTTCTGTATTTGTTGCTTCCAAGAAAATAGTCGCCGTTTTTGTGTTGGAGTAAAGGCCTGTGAATAAAAAAACAAAACAAATTCTATAGCAAAAAAAAACCACTGTTCATTCTATTGAATAATTGTACTAAAATACATTTATATTCTGTTGTGAAAATTCTCTAAATGATTAGAATAGAATTAAAAAAGGTTTATATAAATATTAAACTCATTATTTGATACAATAATATCTTTCTAATACTGAATTGTTTCTAAAACTAAATATCTAGTTACCCAACTACTTAAAAAAAAAGAAAAACCAACAATATCACTATATGACACAGTTTTCAACTACATAACTTTATTCATGAAGATTTCAATTATTTTATAGATGAAAGCTATAATTTTCTTATGCTGAAAATGTATTTCCAAGAGGTACTTACCTCTCTCCACATATTTAGCTATTCTCATTTAGTGCAGCTCTCTATATGCAAACAATTTTTTTGCAAGCACAGGCCTTGCACTACCACATATCCTATAATCATCATGGTTCAACTGCATCTTGCATGCTAAACATCATGTGATACACCCTCCTGATGCATATGACTCCCTCTATTTGATTCTACCGAACTATCACTCTGAGTTTAGACAGAAAAAAAGCATCAGTTTTCAGTAGGGAGTAAAGGTGGGAAATGTGAAAAGAGGTAAGTACCTATCAGAAATACATTTTCAGCATAAGAAAATTATAACTTCTTATATGGTACATTACCTCCTCTCACACATATAGCTGGAATCCCACATTTAAAAGATGGAGGGACTGGGGTGAGAGATCACAATAAGCATCCTTTGGAAGTGTCCGAAGAACACCCCAGAATTGTGATCCCCATAGTAGAGGATAATATGTGGAAGACTGCACCACTTCTGTACCAGGTATACTCTGCACCCAGTGTGGAAAGAGGTGTCGCATACATAGGCAAAAAATGGAGGAGTACAACCAAAAGGGAGAGAAAAATGGTTGGATTCAAATCTGAACCACAGTATATCAGATATAATCTCAATGCCATCAAATAAAGACTGTGGAAGAAACATCTTCCGACAGTAATGTGGGGGAAAGTTAAAATGAATGTGCTACAAGGTGTAGAGTGGCTAGGATGTGACAGAATATAACCTCTGATCCATGGAAGGAGGAGGGTCCACACAGTCTTCACTATTAGGTCAGGAGAATGAAAGTATATACTGTGCAAACTGATCTACTAAACAGGCACATGTGCACAAATCCACAACTAGCCATGCATCCTGGAACCTGACATCCGAAAAACAGCAGTAAGAGATGTGCCGATGTAGAAGGTCACATCAAAACTCAGTCAGATTGGCAACCCACTGTGCAGCATCATTATCAGGCTGCAAAACTCCTTGAGGTAAAGTGCAAGAGGAAGAACAATTGCCTTATTCAACATTATCCTCTAGATGGGACTACACAGAAGTTGGAGCACAATTCCATCTTCTGGGTCCCACAACACAAAAGTGGATGGCCTTCAATGAAAAATATAACCACCTCACCCACCTTCTGAATAAAACTGCAAAAAAGCAAAGTGACAAATCAACTCCAAAGCACATCATCATCATCCTTTGGTTAAGAAAAAATTAGAAAGTTTAAAAAATGATAAGGCTCCTGGGCAAACTACTTACTACTATTTTTTTTGTCAGTTCTTGAATAGTTGGCAGGTACCAGAAGATTGGAAATTAGCTAATATAACTCCTCTTTTCAAGGGAGGTGATAAAAATTGTCCCAGTAATTATAGACCAATTAGTCTTCCATCAGTTGTGGGAAAAGTTCTGGAAAGTCTGATAAAAGATACTTTACAAAGTCATTTAACAAAGTTTAAAGTTTTATTGGATAGTCAACATGGTTTCACTAAAAGAAATCTTGCCCTACAAATCTTTTGACATTATTTGAAAGGTTAATGCTTATGTAGATGAGAGTAAAGGTGTAGATTTCATGTATCTGGATTTTTCAGAAAGCATTTCACAAGGTGCCACATAAGAGGCTTGTAAAAAATTATCTTTATAGGTGTGGGAGATAAATTAGCAAATTGGATAGAAAAGTGGCTGGATGGAAGAAAGCCGAGGATTGTTACAAATGAAGTTCAGTCAAACTGGATTAATGTCACAAGTGAGGTACCTCAGGGCTCAGTATTATGACCTTTGCTTTTTTTTTTATTTACATCAATGACATAGATGAAAGAATAGTCAATAAGTTAGTTGAATTTGCAGATGATATTAAGGTATCGGGTGTTGCTAGCTGTGAAGAGGATGCTGCTAATTTACAAAAGTATTTAGATCATTCGTTGAGTTGGGCAAGTAAATGGCAGATGGGTTAATTATAATAAATGCAAGATAATGCATGTGGGTTATCATAATTTGAATACAAGTATAATTTGGATGGGAATAACCGTAACAGTGTTTTGAAGGAAAGAGATCTTGGTGTAATAGTTGATCAATCTCTAAAGTCATCCAAGCAGTGTGCTGTTGCTAGTGGTAGGGCAAATAGGATTTTAGGTTGTATCTACTGAAATACTGAATACAAGTCTAAAGAGGTTATAATTTCATTGTACAGGTCACTGGTTAGGCCACATTTGGAATACTGTGTCAGACTTGGGCTCCTTATTTTTGAAAAGACATTGAATTGTTGGAAAGGGTTCATAGAAGGGTTACTAAAATGGTGCCTGGGATGGAGGGGTTGCCATATCAGAGGAAGAAATCTCTCAAATTGTTTTCTCTTGAAAAAAAGCAGAGTTAGGG